TGACCTCAACATTCAATCTACTAAAAAGGGACCCAGTTAGGCAACATTCTGCTTACTCATTTGAACGTAAAAGGCTTAAATTTCCTCAAATTTTTTCCTTTTTCAAATTTTTCACTTCAGAAAGATCTTCCTCCTCTCCAGTGAAGTTTTCCTGTTTCCAATTTTTTTAAAAATACCTGTTTCTAAGTTAAAAAAAAAAAATCAGACCACACTAATTCTAAAATACCAAGCAGAGTTCTAAATGTGTTTTGTAATATTCTACTTCCCACTATTAAGATAAGCAACAGCCTCAGAAGGTACATTGAAACAACTCATACCATCAGAGTAACAAAATCTACACCAAAAAGAACATTTCAAAGCAACCTGCATAACAAGCAATTTTCACATATTTTTTTGGAAGTTTAGATACTGTTCAAAGCAAGTATCTCCTCAGAGAAACAGAATTCAGATTAGGACAGGGCAGATTCAAACTTTTATAAAGATAGGCTACCTATCACACCCTCTTCCTGACCAAGATATATAAACAAATACAATGATAAAAACATTTGTAGAAGCACACATAGACACACATGGATCTCTATGAGGAATTATAGTCTAAGAATCTAGGACAGACTTTTGCCGTCTCAAAAGGTGGCGTATAATGAAACTATTAAAATAATGTTAGGAACATGGTTGCTGATAGTTTAATAACATGCTTTCTTTTTAGATAAGATAGAAATATTTCTATTTCTGAATTTTAAAAAAAAGAAAGTAAAATATTTTCAAGGGATGGTTTTACTATTGCCACTTAAAATCTAATACGAACTGTTCAGGACCAAAGGCCAATAAAATAAAATTAATGATCAATTTAAAAACCTTTTTTCCATTCATTCTTATGAACAGTTTTTGGTGTCTAGAACATTTCCTGGACTAAGTACTCAATAAACATCTGATGACTTGAAAAATTTTATACCGCAAAGTAGTTAGATGGAACAAAATGTGTTAATGAGACTGAAATTGTTCTCCACAAAGGCTAGTATAATCTTTAATTCTTTAATTACACTGACTTAAACACAGTTGGTCTAACTAGGAAGAGGGAAAAAACTTTTAAAACTTCTAGGAACTATGAAACTCTTTTCCCAAATTCTCAAAAACATTTTTTAAGATAAAATTCGTTGATCTTTTAGAAATAACCTCTAGTATTTACATAGTAATAAATACAGCTTTCTAGTTTGAACTTAATAGTTTCTTACATATCCCTATTGAGAAAACTTACCTTTTATTCTATTTCTGTAAAAAATATTGTGGCAAATTTTACATACAATAAACAGATCTTAGGTGTTTAGCTCTGAGCAGTACAATTAAATATACCCCAGCAGCCACCACTGAAAACATAAAAACATGCAAAATACTCTACCACCCAAGAAAGTATTCTTCTGTCCCTTTCCAGTCTATCCTCCCACCACTGATGTCTACAAACAAAGATTTTTCACTCAACATTAAGTTTTTTTTGAGATTCATCCAGTGGATCAGTAATTCATTTCCTTTTCCGGCTAACCAATATTCCACTCTGAGTATACTACACTTTGTTTATCCACTCTCCTGTTGGTAGGTATTTTGGGTGCTTCCAGTTGGGGCTATTATAAATAAGGTTGCTATAAACATGCCTGTAGAAGTCTTCTTACCCATATAAGTTTTCAACCCTTTTCCACTTCTAAATTCTTCATTCAAAATTGGCCCTTTCTAGGTAAATAGAGCTAATGCCTTTAAAGCTGTCAGCTCTGACATGCTTGTGTTACTCCAGAAAACATACTGATTATCTTGGGATTCACTGCATTATCTTTAGGAGCAAAACTGTTATGTTTCAAAGAAGCAAACAGGGTCAAGGAAGGAAGAGCTACTACATTCAGTTTCACAGCAAGCTTTTAAATCTAGAAGTAAACTTCTTCTGACTTCTGCATAGGAAGATTTTGTTGTTGTTCTATTTTAAAAGTTTATACAATGGGGAAAGCTTTTTTAAGGTCAGAGTATTAGAACAGACTACACTTCCAAAGGGCAGAATCATACAAATTTATCTTAAAAGACTCACTGTTAAAACATATGACCTAAACAAAAATAGGTAAGTTGTTTCTAATAGATAAGGACTGTCTGTAAATACTGTACGGTGATTAAGGATCTCCAAGTGTTTACTAAGAATGCAGAGTCATCATGAGAGAGCCAAGTGCTTTTAAAAAAAACCACTAGATGTAAATAGGGAAGGAAAAAAAAGCAATAAACATGTAAGCCATTACTTCCTTCTAATTTTCAGATAGAAAATGAAAACACTTTTGGTGTCTTAGACATTTTAAACATTTGCTGAAAAGTGATCCTCCAGGTTATTTCAACAAAAGTCTAAGTATGGATTCTGTAAGTAGCTCAATCAAGACAGATAAATGTAATTAGCTATTACAATCTACTCTGAAGGGAAGACTCAGAGTAGAAATTGATCAGTGGGAATTTTCTTCCATAGTGCTCCAAAACAAATTCTGCAACTGTTATCTTGTTGTCTAGTATGAAATAGACTACCTCATTTTTTCATAAAGCAGTTATTACAAACATGTTTCCTAACAAGCAATACAATAAGAACTAAAATAGACACATTATAATGGAACTTAAATACATGTTTTTAAGATATTTATCAATGTTGTCACTCTTCCTGAGAATCAGTCCCCACTTTAAATATTCAACAGCTTTGAAGAGGAAGTTACTATATATTATTGATTTAAGGGAGAAAAACTTTAGGCTAAGTTTCCTTAATGTCTTTAATAGGAATTAAATATTTGTTGACAGTGGAGATTTTGAAGCGGGAAAAAAAAAAAAGCTTCTAAAATCCAGCCATTCAATCAAATTACATACTTTGTACTGTTACAACTACACTGCATTTACAGAAAATTGATAATGTAAAACCAGCCACCACTGGAATCAGCACACATAATTCACTTTACACTGGACTGGGGTGAGAGTAAGGGGACTTCTTTCTCTCCTGCTAAAAACTTGGCAGTTAATTTGGGCAATTTTTTTTTTAAAGATTTTATTTATTTATTTGACAGAGAGAGATCACAAGTAGACAGAGAGGCAGGCAGAGAGAGAGAGAGAGGGAAGCAGGCTCCCCGCTGAGCAGAGAGCCCAATGTGGGAGTCGATCCCAGGACCCTGAGATCATGATCTGAGCTGAAGGCAGAGGCTTAACCTACTGAGCCACCCAGGCGCCCCTGGGCAAATTATTAATATAAGTTGGCAACTGGGAAATAATGACACAAAACAATTATATTCTTCTGACCTGGTATTACCATTTTTGTGAATACATTCAAGGGTATAATTCAAAGGAGGAAAAAAACCCTAACAACTGGTATAGGGCTACTTACCAGAACATTATGAATAAAAGATATATATGCACAAACATTCCAAATTTCCAACTGCAGGGGAATGGTTAGGCCTACCATGACGTTAGTCTAAAACAGGATTATACAGTTGTTAGAAAAAGAGGAATATATTAAAATATGTAAAGTACTAAAGTAAAAGCAATGATAAAGGGAAAAAAGTCAAAATTTTATATAACTGCAGAAAATCTATCAGAATTACAGGATCAAAAGATTTTGATGTTTATAAATACTTGAAACATTTTTTCATTTTATGTTACTTTTACCCTGATTTTGAGGTTTGATGCTTCTTTCAATATTATTCAGTTACCATGCTTTCTATTCAATTACAAGCTTCCTACCATGCCATAATTCAAAGAATCTCTAGATTTAGAATGTCCTCTAGTTTACCTCCTCTAAATCTACTGACTCTGCCTTTTTTAAAAAAAAATATTATCCTTTTTTAGGGACCGTATTCTCTTAAAAAACAAAAAACAACCAGACAGAAGCCTTCTGTGTATTGGGGCTGAAATCCATCTCCAAATAATTTTCACTAATTTGGTGCTAGTTCTGTCTTTTGGTCTACAAAGAATATGTTATTCTCCTTCCAACCAATAAGCCTTCCAAACACTATGTTTCATGTCAGCTACCACAGAACTCCAGACTGCTCCAGGCTAAGGAGCCCTATTGATCTTAAAATTATCTTAATGCATGTTTTACTCCCATTCAGGATCTATGAGTTCAAATTTTGCCAAATCAAAATGGTTTTTTCTCCCCTCACCATCCCAATCAGTCTCAGTCTGGTTTGCAAATACCCCTCTTAGACTGTTAACACCCCAAACCCAACAAAATCTTCCAAGTGTTGGCTGCATTGTGGGAATTTTCGTCTTTTAGATGTGAAATCCTGAGTTGTGGGGTTTTTGTTTTGTAAAGAACAGATCTTAAAAACACGATGTTACATATATATTCATTAAATTTCATTATCTAACATTTGGTCTATCGTACTAGCCTTTGAACACCTTTTGGCTAACTTTTCTTTACTGAACTCAAGTTACCTTAACTACATCCAGGCCCAAGGTAATGGAGTTGACCTCAAATGCCCTCGGGGTACTTCAAGTCTTCCCTGTGGGAATGGAGGTTATTCTCGGATTTTGTTACCGAATAAAACAGTCATACACATATTGCGTGTATGGCTCTGTTTCTCTCCCCCCGCCCCAACCCCCACACACGCTGTGGGTAAAACCCCGCTAGAGCTGGGACTGCCTGATTGCACAGCGCCTTAGATAACGATGACTTATCCTACTCTAACACAAGTACACGGCAGTGAGAGATACATAGAGAGATGAACGATATGGGCTCGCTACCAACTCGGCACTTTCCCTGCAAAAACCTGCTCTCCCACCACGAAAGGACTCGGAAAAGGCACTAGGACGAGGACGAGAGGTGGAATCATTCGCGCTCCAAGGCGGCTGCGCCGGCGCCCGCCCCGCCGTCTGCGCACAGGGTCACGGAGTAACGCGCCACTCGCCAAGCCCCGCCCCTTGGCCCGGGGAGGTTTAGACCACCCCCCACTCCCACGTTGGGAGACGTGCAAGGATGGGGACTGGAGGAAGGCGGGGATTACCTGTGAGCCGGGCGAACCCGGTAAGGCTCTCGGGGACAGGAAGCCGCTTTAGATACGCCGGGAGCTGCACCTTCACGATGCGGGCCACGCTCTCCAACACCATCCTCGCCAGCAGCGTCCACTCCCCTCCCGGCCCGCGCCTTTCTCCGGCCGAGCTGTCGCGCCTGCGCGGAGAGCGGAAGCAGCCGGCGGGCGCCGCGGCCTGGGTCCTGCGGCAGGCAGGAGGGGGCGGCGCTGAGGGCCCCCAGAGGAAAGGTTGACCGGCTGGGCGCCGATTGGCAGCGGACGAGTGACGTGCGCGCGCCGCGGACGCCAAGGGGGAGCGCGCGGCCGCGAGGTGTGGAGTCGCGGCAAGGGATGAGTAACGAGGCCCTCCGTGGAATCTCGGTTTTGAAGAGGGCGCGCGTTCACGTTGGGCCCTTCGCATCTGTACACGCTCGAGGCCCGCAGAAAGGATACTGTGTCCGATGAGATAAAGCATGTGACGGTGCTTTGTAACCGGAAAGTGCCTTTCAAAAGTGAGTTGCTCCTGGCGTCGGTTTTTACTTTGGCCTCTCGTCCCGGCCCCTTTCTTCCCGGAACCGGTCGGGTGCCTGGGACCTAGGATTGCAAGCTCACCACTAGCACCCTCCCCGCCACCCTGCGGTGCCTGACTCCGTTCCCTCACCCCAATAAGCCAGGTTTAAAGAAAAGGTTAACATACTCAAACGACGAACTGTTTAAAGCTAGCCATTAGGCAATTTTGTGTAACCCTGAGGGGTTTTTCTGCTCCTTAGATTTGTTGTTTTGTTTGTTTTTAAACATTTTACTTATTTATTTGACACACAGAGATCACAAGTAGGCAGAGCAGGCTCTCCGCTGAGCAGGGAGCCCGATGGGGGCTCGATCCCAGCACCCTGGGATCCTGACCTGAGCCGAAGGCAGAGGCCCAACCCACTGAGCCACCCAGGCGCCCCTGCTCCTTATATTTGACCCGCGGTAGTCCTGCTTTAGATACTTTAAGTTCCTTCTGCCGATCTTTTTTCAGTTAACTAAAACTAGGAAAGTGGTAAAAGAATATAAACCTTTCAAGTGACTTTTATGTTGTACGATTTCTGCTACAAGCTAAAGTATCTGTGAAGTTCTTTAATTTTAATTGCTTATTAATATATATTTTTTTAAATTGAAGAAAGCTACACTTCCTTGCAGCGCTTTTCTTGGCATGACTTTGTTTCCTATTTTTACTGAAGTGAAATATCCGAAGTAATGCACTTGCTGGTTGCATGTTGTATGTGTGGTGTGCTCTTATGCCTCCTTACCGTTCTGAATCCCACCTGACCAATAGTGGTATGTAATACCAACGAACTGCCCACGGTGCAATATTTCATTTTGTGTGACTTAATATAACAGCCAGTTGTAATAAATACGTTTTCTTCTTTATTTTTCCCTTGGTATTTTCATTGTAAAGTGAGAAAGAGAAGACATTTTTTTTTTTTTAAGATTTTATTTATTTATTTATTTGACAGAGAGAGAGAGAGAGCACAAGTAGACAGAGAGGCAGGCAGAGAGAGGGGGAAGCAGGCTCACTGCCGAGCAGAGAACCCGATGCGGGGCTCGATCCCAGGACCCTGAGATCATGACCTGAGCCGAAGGCAGAGGCTTAACCCACTGAGCCACCCAGGTGCCCCGAGAAGACATTTTTTTAAAGTAACTTTTTGTTTTCTGGAATCTTTAATATGTGGTGGTTTTTAGCTAAAAAATAAATAACCGTCAGTAAGAGAGTTAGTTGAAATCTAGATTAACCAATTTTCTATCACCCTGTTCAAAATACAATTACAGTGGACTTTCAATGAAAATGTTTAGATACAGGTTCATGAACCAGAGCAATATAGGTTATATACACATATAAATATATAATTCAGAGGAGATGCATTACACAAACTACATTAATGTATAAAAGGTGATAGTTTCCTAACCCCACCAATAAAATTCTTACTGTGTATTTTAGGGAATATTTTTTTAAATTCCTTTTTACTTTCAAATATAAATCTTGTTTCATTCATATCTTTTAATTTGCATTTCATTTCCACAACCCTGCCTTCTTGGCAGTATGTGAAACAGAGGGGCTGAAAATAATATCCTACAGAGATTATCTAACCACTTTCTAACCATGTCTAACCACTTTCTGACATGGTGTCCCACAAAATCTGGTTTTATTAGTATTTGTATCTTAGATTTAGATGCCATTTTTAAAAGCCATAAAGATATTTTATGGTTAGAAAAGAAGAGACAAAATAATATGTGAATAAAGCTAAAGGAATTATTATTTAGTGTTAAGAATTTGAATGAAGATCGGTAAATCCTCTGCCTACTTTGTGTCCTAGCTAGACCCAAGTCTCTAATTTCTTTACAAGTTTCCTTCTGTAAGCTCATCTAGTCCCATGAATTCAAATGTGATCAATATGTTGACATAGCCCAGATCTCTAATCCCAGCCCAGATTTCTCTTGTACAGCAATCCCAAATGCCTCCTGGATATCTCTGTGCATCTTTACTCATTTTGCTAATGCTTTGCTTATCTTTTTCATTGATTTATGTTTTCTGGAAAATAATACCTTGTTGGTTATATTGGTTACCTGTCTTCTTCCAGTTTAAGACTTTTCTCTGACCTTTGTGGTGTCTTTTCTTATACTGAAATTTAGTTTTAATGTAGTCAGATTTATCTTTTCCATTATATTTTGCGTTTTGGAGATCTTGTTTAAGAAATCCTTTCCTACTTCAAAATAACAAAGATTTTTATCTATCTTTTTACTAAAAGTTTAAAACTCTTATTCTTCATATTTACGTTTTTAATCAACTATTTTTGTGCATGAGGTAGATATCTAATTTTATTTTGTTTTATATATGTACAATTGTTCTAGAAGCATTTATTGAATAATTTAACTTTTATTTTATGTCACTCATCTCAGAACAGGTTTCCACACATATGTGGGTAGTTTTCCATCGGTCAATTTATATGACTTCTGTGACATTACCACACTATTATAATTGGTACAGATTTATAGTAAGTGTTAATACCTGGGAGGATATTAACAGCAGTTAATAATCCACATATTTTTTCAAAATTATCTTGGAAATGCCAGTTATAGATAACTCTATATAAATTTTAGAGTTTTGTTAAGATCTATTGAAAAAACGTAAGAGTTTTATTGAAAAATTGTTAGAACCTCAGTTTCTCCCCTAATATGCCTATATTCATGGTTGTTATGACTAGATAAAATTAATCATTTTCATGTGCTTAATGAATAGTTGCTGTCATTTGATTCATCAACATCATCATCAGTGAATGAGCCTTTACTCTGGCTTTGAGATCTTAAATTGAAAAATACTACCTTCTGACCACAACCTACTATAGCTCTTTATACATCTTCCACTCCCTTATTCCTACTAAACTTATTCTTTGACTTTATCAAGTTATTTAGTGTTGAAACTGTCTCTTTTTCTAGTCTGTCAGTCCATTCCTGGATTTATTTACTTTTTTCATTCCTTCAGATCTTCACTATTTTACATTACTTATTTATTAAGCTTTCTAATTGTTACTATCATGCTTATTTTAAGCTTTGATGACCCTGAATTTTAGTTAACAGATAAGCTCTTCTCACCAGCATCTCTAGATGTGGCTGTAATTCCTCCTATAATTAGCATCTGCCCTGCTCTCCAAGTCTTGTGCACCCTGTGTTCTAGAGCTCATCCTCCAAGACCGTGCTTCATCAGTTACCATCTCAAATTTTCATTTTTCTTTCCCTACTGGCCCCACAAACTGGTGATCTCCAGGCTTTTAGATTTCACCAATAAGGGGCGCCTGGGTGGCTCAGTGGGTTAAAGCCTCTGCTTTCAGCTCAGGTCATGATCCCGGGGTCCTGGGATCGAGCCCCACATCGGGCTCTCCGCTAAGCAGGGAGCCTGCTTCCCCCTCTCTCTCTGCCTGCCTCTCTGCCTACTTGTAATCTCTCTCTCTCTCTGTCAAATAAATAAATAAATAAATCTTAAAAAAAAAAAAAGATTTCACCAATAATTTTTTTAATTGAGATAATCAACATAGGTTTGCCAACTTTTTATTTTGTCAAGAAAAGATATTTAAAAGCAATATAACAAAAAACCACTACCACCTACTACTACTAGAAGGTAACATAACAGTAAGACCATAGACTTTGGAGCTAGACTGTTTAGAATTTTGGCTCTGCCAAAATAAATTATGTGACCTATAAAAATACAGATAATACCTACCTCTTAAGGCTGTATTGTATATACTAATTTAGTGGATTAATACATACAAAGCAACTAAACCCACTTGGCACATACACATGCACAGTTGCGTTATCTTCTCTCTTACATCACTGTTAGCACATCTTGTTTATTATAGCTACACTTGGTTTTTTACCATGGTTGCTGTACGTCTGTGTGGTCAGTGTGATGATAGTGCATGTGTCAGTGCTAATCACATGTGGCTGTTGGGGATCTTATTAAGATTGCTTAAAATGCTTCAAGGGGACCACATGCACATTTCTATAATATAAAGATAGCAAGTAGAGAGACAAAGAGTAGATTGTACAAGTTTATAGAGAAAAAACAGGTTTCATATGAGGCACACAAAGGTAAATGTGTTGGACTTCTCAGTAGCAACTCTGGAAACAAAAGGGTAATAGAGCAGTGCTTCAGAATTCTAAGGGAAAATTAATTCTAGTCTAGAATTCTATATAAACCAACCTACTTATCAGTTATGAGACTAGAATAAAGTTATGTTCAAACCTAAAAGGTCTCACACTCCATATATCCTCTCTCAAAAAGCTAATGGAGAATGTGTACCACCTAAATGGGGATTAAATCAGGAAAAAGCAGGGCATGTGTTTAAGGAAATATGAAATCCAAAATAAGAGAGGTAAGGGAATTACATTTGATGGATTGGAACAGTAAGATGAAATCAATGGAACACCTAACACAAGCATAGCTTTTTACCGTGCTTCACTTTATTGTGCTTCACAGATACTGTATTTTTTATAAACTGAAGGTTTGTGGCAGCCCTGCACAGAGCAAAGTCTGTCAGCACCATTTTTCCAGCAGCATTTGCTCACTTTATGTTTCTGTCACATTTTGGTAATTCTCACAATATTTCAAACTTCATTATTATTTGTCTTGGTGATCTGTGATCAGTGATTATGACTCGCTGGAAGCTCAGATGATGGTTAGCATTTTTAATAATAAAGGATTTTTAATTAAGGTATGTACATTGTTTGATGTAATGCTATTGCATGTTTAGTAGATTTTCGTACAGTGTAAACCTAACTTTTATATTCAATGGGAAACCAAAAAAATTATTTGACTCACTTTATTGAGATACTTGCCTTATTATGGTGGTTTGGAACTGAACCCACTATATTGCTTAGATTTGCCTGTATGTCTGAACAGATTATTTGCAGGCTTTCCCTCTTGGGTTGCAGTTTGGGGTTAAATGAATGATTTAGAAACTAAGCAAATTCTTAA